GGATATATTATTCCCACCAGCTGTCTAACCACCCACTCTTCCCTCATTCTGTTGGGTAGCTGTGGGAATTGCTCTTTCAGAATTTGAGATGAACTAGCTTGTACCATTTGTACTTCCTGTTTGTCTCCTGCAGTCTACTGGAAAATAGAGTTAGTTGGATCCTCTTGCTATAATTTTATCCATTTAATCCAAGTTCTATAATAGCTAGTCTTTAGTGGGCATGCTTCACATGTGTATGTATTGAGGAAAACTTAAAGGCCTTTGTTACTCGGTATTCTATCAGATAATGAGGTCAACTGATGGCAGCTTGAATCAGTCAATGGCCATTAGTTAGCCTGTTATTCAGAGTACCATTAGGAACATAGCCAAACTTGTCTGTCTCTCTCTCTGAGCTAGTGTGCCAGAGTAAACCTTCCTTTGTCAGTCTTTGCCATTGGTAACAAGGTCCTCCCTGAGTCTACAACTCCCCATGAAGCAAAATTCCCTTCTGGTTAACAGAATTGCTGGATAAAAAAAATCCAGAAATGCCAATTTGAAATGACTTCCATTATGAATAGCTTACAAACTGGCTTGTCTTTTATTGCAGCTACTAAATCATGGCTGAGAAGGGCAAGAGAAAGAATTTCAGAAACAACTGCCTTTTATTTTTATTTTTCCCAGAGAGGTTTCTGTGATCTCTTTATTAGACACAATATGTGTCAGCTATTCAACTCATAAAAAAAGCAGACAAACATGCCAGGAAAAGGAGAAATATTTTCTGTTTCTCCCTTCCTGTGAAAACTTTGAATGAGCTCATCTGGGTTCTCTCCTTTCAATGAAAGCTTTGCTCATCCCTCAGCCCTCCATCTCCTCTTCATTCTCCATTGATGATGTCAGGCAGGCCTTATGGTATCTTTTTTGTGATCTTATAAAATCAATGACAACCAAAAACATTTCCCTTCTGGGCATGACTTCATCAATGTCCCACACCTGCACAGGCTCATCTGCATTGGTAAGTAGAGCTAAACTCCACTGATCCAGACTGAAGCAATTTACCAGGATACTCCTGCTTTCCTTCAAAACGCTGCCCACACCATTCAGACTGGGAAGATTTCTGAGCAACCTGGTCGAGTGTTGGATCTGACTAGTCAAGATGGCTCTCCATTCTTTGTGCTTATCTTTGTACATACCAGAAACTCTCCTTTACTCAGTACTGTTTTTGCCCTGGACACAAAGTAATCAATACTTCAAAATGTTAGGTAGGTGACATTTTGATGATATTCTTATACCCCCTCCTCCATTCTACTGTATGTTAGTCTCATCTATAATATATTCTGAGCAGTGAAATGGGCATTCCGTTAAGTCAGTTTAGGACAGAAAGGAATTTTGGGCCACAGGATTTTCATGGCTGTGAGTGTCCTGAACCAAGGAGATAGATAGGGAAACATCTCCACGTCGAGAACACTCGCCAAGTACTCTCAAAGCGCTGAGAGTTAGAAGATAAAATCAGTACATAATGGATGAGTTTGCGGAGAAGTAAAAGGCACAAAAGACGATATCTTACAGGCCCAAAGAGAATAGAGAAAGGAAGGTTTGACTGCATTGGCAAGTCTGAAATGAAATGGCGTTTAAATAAAAATTGTGGAGAGAGTAGCACTGGCCCTACAATGCATTGGAGAGGCAGAAGTGTCAACTCACTCAAGTCAGAGGATGGGGCAGAGGAGAAGTCTAGCTGTGGACCAGGGAGAGCTCACCAGGCCTCCCTTTCTGTAGTCCATGTGAAATATGCCTTGCCACTAGCCACCTCCCTTGCTCTGAATCCAGGCACTCCAACCACTTTTCAGATGGCTAATTCAATCTTCCAGTTGACACCGAGACATGGAGAGGTTGAGACACACAGACTACATAGGCACTCTACAAAGGGCTCTTGAAAAGAATATTCCCTACTGCAAAAATAACTTGGCTTTTGTTTGCTGCATTATTCTCACAATAATAATAATAGCTGATAAATGTTGAGTGCTTGCTATAGGCTCGGCACAATTATAAGCATTTTACATGATGAATGCATTAAGTCTCCACCAGAACTCTCCAGGTCAAGCACTATTATTATCACCATTTTACAAATAAAGAAACCGAGTCAGAGAATATAAAGAAGTTGCTCAGGAAGTGACAGAGCCAGGATTCAAATCCAGACTATGAGGCTCCAGAGCCTGCAGGCTTAATTGCCATGCTATGTTTGCTCCTGTGAATTATTATGGACAAATTTCCCTGCATCTGGTCAACTCAGGTGCATTGGCAAGACCAAAGTCCATACATTCCTTACAAAATCATGGGGACACCTGAGCACTTTGAGCCTCAAAACATCCCCCCTTCTACCCCGCCCCCCCACCGTTGCTTTGCGTCTACATTCCCACTGAACTGAAGGTAAAAAACAAAACAAAAAAAAAACAATAAAAAACACTCTGCAATGTCATTAAAAGCACAGAAGCACAGAGATTTACCACGAGGAACTGATTGCAAGTGAGCAGAACCAGCTCCTAAATTCATACTTGAAAAATTTCAGTGTGAAGGCTTCTAGTGAAAAATACGTGGAAGCGAAGTTGAGCTAATGTTTTACACATTTTAGAATTGCTCTCAGGATGTGTTTCATTTTAGAAAAGCTCGAGAAAAAACAGAAAACATTTATGGAGTGTGAACTATGTGCCTGGCATTGGGCTAAGTGCCTTTTCACACGTGAAACCTTATTTAACATCACAACAATCCTGTAAAATATTATTAATTTCATTTTTATGGATGAGAACAAAGACCCAATGAGGTTTTACACTTTGTTCGAGATCACACAGCTAATAAGCATTATAATTGGTAATCAAACTTAAAAATGCACACTCCCCTCTCTCCAATTTGGGTTATTTTAGGTTATATGTTATACAGTGCTATGCAGAATATTGATGTCATTTGAAGGAAATCATAACCTCTTGATTCTCGGTAGCCATGAATGCATCTATTGCTTTCGCTAATCTGTAAGCATTATGGGGCAAACTAGGGTCTTACTTATTGCTACATGTTAATAATACTTGGTGGAGAGTATGCTCAGAACAGTAGCTGGTGAGCCCCTTAATACTGTGAGTGTAGACATTGACGCAGGGATAGATGATAATCCCAGGTAAAGATACAAATACAAGCTTAAGGCAAAGTATACATCTGAGCCTTAATTTTTCGAGGCCCTGTGAGGCAGATTTGCCAGTAGACCTGCACAATCCCCACCACTGCAGCACAGGATGCAGTGCCCCAAGTCCTGGAATGGGGTCTGTGATTTACCTCGCCAGGCAGCCCCTTTCTCCCCCTTCCCTGGTGCCTCTCTGGCTGCTGTCTCACTTCCTTGGCTTTGAACCTTTTGGCAGCCTCCAATAGCTCCTCTTCAAAGAGCTGAAGACAAGCCTGATGTTTCAATTGCCTTTCTTAATTCTAGGCAGGTTTCCATTAATCGTATTAAATGCAGGTGAATAAAGGGCATTGAGTTTGTGACAGAGCTGAACGGTATATGGATAAACATAAACAAGAGAGGTAATCCCTCAAGAGCCACTGTTTGCCCTCAATTGGAAGGATGTCAGCAGTGCCCCTGCTAAGGGAGGTTGGAGGGTGGGAGGCAGAAGAGATTTAACAAGACCGGTGCTGAGCATCTGGACTCTGTATTAAAGAGGGGAATAAAGCTTGTGACTGGAATACATTAGGAGAAACGCAAATGTTCTATTCACACACACACACACACACACACACACACACACACAAATAGGCATTCATAATATCAGCCTTTAATCTACCCAAGGCACCTTAGCTTGCCTTATTCATTGCTGACTTTCATCTTCTCTGCAAAGCCTCTTGCAAAAGGGCCCTTCTCAGATCAGCTTTAGGTCACAGGGGCAGAAATACTGTTGCTGAACTGATATGCCAGGGAGTAGCATGTGTGACTGGAAAACAGTATGACAACATAATCCCAGCATGGACCGATGAGATCAGTGTGGGGTGATGTTGGCTTTTCTAACATCTACTGAATCATCTGTTGGAAGCAACAATTGAAAAGAATAAAAACAAACACATGCAACATCCGGCCACGAAGACTGCCTGGCCCAGGTCTGAGAAAAAGGATCTAGTTTGGGTAGGATCAGGTGGGAGATGGAGGGAGCAACGAGCTGGGAGTTAGGAGACCTCCGTTTGCTTCTTCTCTCCCTCTGGCTGAGTGGCTGGGTGACTTCAGGTTGCCTGGCCTCTGAGAAATGAGGACACTGGTTCAACTGGTCTGTATCGAAAGTTTTCTTTAGTTTCAAAGGCAAGGATTTGTCTTATATAAAAGAGGTTTTATAGAAGTGCACTGTAAGACCACAATCTTGAAGACACTGTAATCTGAATCTTGATTTTCTTAATTCACCCTGTTTAGAATGTTTTGCATAACATTGGTGGGCAGAGGAAGAGCATTGGCAGGTGCATTAGAGCAAGAGGTTGAACAAAACAACACAAAACAACACAAAACAAAACAGAATCAGAACACTCCTGGCTCACACTGTGACCACAGAATTCCAATCCCCCGTGGGTCTTAAAGTCTTCCTTGCAACGGGTGTAACAAAGAGAAATGACAGGATCCCAAAAGAGCAGTCAATAATCTTAGGTCACAATTACGTTTCCCAACATGCTACTTACTTGTGCACATCTTGTTTTCTCATGTTCTTTCTGTCTGGAACATTTCCCCTATCTCTGTTTATAAAAATTCCACTCGTTCTAACTCTAAGACTTCCCGGATGGAATGAAGTGTCTTTGCACACTCTTTGGTTATCACTTAGAATACTTATTTTCATTCTACCTCATACCATACATCACCCCCTTTAACTATAATTACAGATTATTAGCTTCCGGAAGGCAGGGCACGGATCTCATTTATCTATGTATTCCTGGTTCTGCTTGGCACATTGGAGGCACCCATCCAATAACGATTTCTGAATTGAACTGAACAGGGATTTCTACATTACCTGCTAATGTTACGGCAATGGAGACAGAGTCATATCCCAAGGCATTGGTGGCATTACAAGTGTAGAAACCCACATCAGCTTCCACTGGTGCCAGAATCTGCAAGGAATCATCTGGTTGTAGAAGAATCCTGGAACAGCAGAAAGAAAAAGGCAGGCCAGGTCAGTTGAGTCCTTTTTAGAAATCAATATTGGTAAAGCAGGAGGGAACCCAAGGAACATTCAGAATCCTGTTTTAACAAAATGGAACTTAGGAACCCAGGCTCTCTTTCCTCTGTGATTGCTGTGATTCTGGTAGCAACCCCGGATAAGAAGGTTTTGACTGCTTGCACTGCTTGTTGACTATTTTTTCTAAACACTACCAGTTGGAGCAGTCAGCACATATGTACTAAATAAATGAGAGTTATCAATCAGCTGCCTCCTGCACACCCCTACCGGGTTTACAGAATACACCTCAGGAGTAAGACGGGAGGGAGAATGAATGCTGCAGATGGGTCCAGGGAAGTATTAAGGAAAAGGAAGTGTTACAAAGGAGCAATGGGGCTTAGTTGGATGGGAGAAAGTAGATAGAGCTTCCAGATATGAAGAAAGGCATCTATTAAAATTTGGAGAAGGGAGAGAGGAAGCCAAAAATCAAATATCAACGAGAGGATCTTGATGTGTACTTTGAAAAGCAATTATATATGTAATTACCTCTCTGATTCATGTAGTCTTATGCCCATCTATTGTCTTCATTAGTCTGCAAACATTATGAGCTCAAAACTCAGATCTTACTTATTATTTTAGTTCCCACAACATTTGGCAGAGGGCCCTCTGTAGAGAAGGTGCCCAGTAGAATGAAGACAATGCCTGCCCTTTGGGGTCATGTAGACCATTCCAGAATAATCACTAGTTCAGATTCTTGGCTTTACTTGAAAAGAATTACAAGAATGAAATTGTGGGTGTACCATGGACTTCAAAACCCATTCCAACCTCAGTCTCCTACTTTTTCTTCTTTTGAATTAGACCACTTACAAAAAATACTACATCATGGCAGTGAGGCAGATCAATGATTAAGGATGACTTAAAGCTGATATCTTGGTGACTTGGTGAGACTGATGATAACTGATGAAATGTGTTTGTGGAGGTGAGGATCCAGAGGGCAGTAGAGGAGGACACTGTGGGAAGCTCAGAGATCAAATACTCAGACCTGGCAGGGCCTTAGGTTGATAAATCATTCAACAGCACAGAAATGATTTAGAGTTTGATTTTGCACTCTTAGAGTCAGTCACTTCTATCTTCGTGATTATTTTCAACGCCCCAGTTTCAAAAAGTTCAAAGATCTGGTTGCCTAATAAATTAATATCCATCCTTAGATACAAGCAGGTAGCAGGGGTTGTTTTTCAGGAAAGGGGAAAAAAAACCCATAAAATTCTCAGGAGAACTCACAAGTCTTGGTGATAAAATGAAGACAAGGAGTTGACTCTCCTGCCTGAGCAACACATTCTCCCCGCTTGACAATTCTTTTCTTTCTTCAGTGTTGCTCTAGACTTTATGTCATTTGCAGTTTGGCACAGCCTCTAGTGAGCTCCTAATTTTTCTGAGGTGGCTGAGGAGTCTGGCATCAAATAAGCCCCCTCAGAACTACTTTTGGCTTTGGGCCTATTGCATTGCTTATTCTTTTTTCTTTTTCTTTTTGCATTGCTTATTCTTGCCTCCTATCTCAGGGAAGGCAGGGAAGAGAAAAAGCAAGGCTTACATCAATCTTCAATCCAGTTACATACAGCAGCTGCAATAAAAAAATGGGGAAGGAAATAGAAAACCTTGGATGGTTTGTGTTTGCTTCAGTGCCATTCCAGACCATCACTGCGATTACTGGGGACAGTCAAGCTATTGTGGCACTGAACCAGAGCCGAGGGATGGCAGAGAGGCCAGGAGAGAGTGTGATAGCACTCATCCAGCCTTTCGTCACTCATCCATCAGCTACTGGGTGTTTTGTCTCAGAGAATCACATATTCATTGTTAGTTTATTTCAAAGGAACTAATAACTCAAAGGTGACTATACTATTTACTTATCTTTGGTAAGCCATGTAATATTTAAATAATAATATCACCGTGTCCTAAAGGTATCTTAACAGATATAATAGTGTATTACTTCCAAATCTCGTTAGATGTTCAGGCTGTCTTAGATTTGAAAAATTACAAATTGACTTTATTATTCAAAACTTTATGATGTCCCAGGAACATGTATGCCTCCATAACAATTTCCAAATAAAAATACAGACAGCAGGTTTAGCAAATTTAAATATGATTGACTACTCAGGATAATAGAACTTAGTAGATAATGGTTCAATTTTATCACACTCAAAAGGCATGGATTAAAATTAGTTAAATTCCCAAGTCCGCCAGGACAGTTGCACCCCCCCCCCCCCCAAACTGGCACTCTCTTTCTCCACTACAGAAAGAGTTCTTGAACTAAACATTCAGAGCAGGTCTACTGAACTTTATTTTGGTCCTGCTATGATTTATGTAATCACCATTGGCAAATCCCTTCACCTTCCCGCATTTCAGTTTATCAATGTCTAAAACCCAGTTGAAGTATGTTTTCCTACTCAGCAGAGGGAACTGTTAAAATGAGCTTGATAAGGTACTTCCAGACCATCTTTTGGTATTTCAATGACCTTCCACTGATAATGTCGGACACCCTGAATGGAGGCTTACCTGTGGGGAGGGGCTGGAGATGAGGATATTTTTTGAGAAAGAAGCAAGAGAGGCACATGATATTGGCCAATTTCTCCCTAGACATCTAATTGGATCTTCATATTCATAGATCATGGTTTTTCCCATAGAATGACTGACCTTGTGTGATCTCATGAGGAGGATGTAAACCCTTCACCACCCCCTGGGCCTGAACCAATTATGGTTTTCAGTGGGTATTAGCATTTGTAGCTGCATGAGTTCCTCCAGGCCTCATGTTACTGGGTGAGCCACAATGTTTTCTGCCTAATGCCTGGAGAAGATTGCATTGTTGGCAAGGAGAAGGGAGGAGATCCATGACACCAGGCACAAAACTATAAGTGTCTGAGCAAGGATGGGAATAGCGGAAATGGAAAGGAATCTGGAGCTTGAGACCAGCATTTGTATATTCTTTTATTCTGTAAACTGTCTATACAAAGATAAAAAAGCTTAAGTATCTGTCTTCATAAAAAGTTTTAAATATTGTCTTAAGACAAAATCTACATGGGACAAAATCTAAATTTGTCATGTACTGCATATACTCATAAATTATTTATATTCACAGAACTGAACTCAATAGCTCGAGGGTCTGTAGTAATTTGATGGCAAAGTTAGGATTTGAAATAAGGTTTCTTAGACCAGCACTTTCCCCCCAATCTATCATGCCTTTAATATGCCCATAAAACTGATAGATGGGGGTTTGGAAGCTGCCACTAGTGGGCGCAAGAGTTCTGAAGTGGGTATCTATGCAGGGCTCTCTAGGAAACATGACAAGGCAAAGGAAAGGGCTTGTTGTGAGAGTGAGGTTTGCTGTAGGTTATCTATCCTGGCATCTACGGAGAGAGCTTCCTGGAAAAAACATACATTTCCTTTATACATTTCCTTCAGGCATGTACTCTATTAATTTAACTTAATTTGTTAGTAGCTGACTTCTGTCAGCTTGTGTTTAGGCTTTGAGTTTACAGGACTGTTTCAGAACGCACAGGCACAGAAATGTGGTGCCGCTTTCCAAGCAAAACCAGAAAAGATTTCTCTGGGGTTGTTTCGGAATTTAAGGAATCAGAGAATGAGGGGTTATGGAATGGAGCCTAATTAAAACCTACATAGCAAATGGTACTGTGGTCACATTAGGTATATTAATACTCGCTGCTTTCCTCCCATCCCCACACCACACGTTCCTTTTGGTTTACTGAGCTAAAACTTAATGCTTCATTTCTTTGGTCATCCTTTTAACCTGAAAATGAAGGAGCCGTTTTGCTTCTCTAGTGGCTTTTATTAGTAAGCTTCTAAGCACGACTTCTCAAACACTCTTCCAATTAAATAAGGAGCTGTTGAGAGAGTACAAAGAATTGTTTTAGTTACACAAGTAAAACCCTCATTCTCCATGTGAGTAGGATATGGGCAAAGAGCCTGTGGGCCAGTCCTACCAAGTACAAGATCCTTGAGGTGAAGTTGTTCCTCTGCATTTGTAATGCACAATGAGAAAGCGCTCTTGTTTGAAAAGAAGGCAGCTCTGAGTGTCCAAAGGAAAGTTTATAGACATTCTGTGAGTAGAGTGGCATCATGATGCCCTCTGAACCCTTGGTTCAACTGTGAACATTGCTGTCTTGGGCAGGTCCACTTCTCATGTGGCTTCCATGACCAACCACAGAAGCTGCTTTGGAGGGGAAGCCTTCCAGACATCACTCAAGAGACGTGGAGTCATGACCTGGTCTTGGGTAAGCCTCTCAACTCTGTGAGCCTCTAAGTCCCTTCTGCAGATTTAGAATAATACTGACCTCAGAGAGATCTCATGAGGATCAAACAAAGAAGTACACAGACTTGTTCTTACTGCTTTCTAAGTAAAAAGGCTTAAATGTCAGATACATCTAAAAAATAATATATCTTAGTGGTACAGGTCATGGTATCCCATGTTACTATCGTGGAATTTCTCTTTGAAATTTCCAGTTGTCAGAAGAAATTTTCAAACTCTGGACCCAGAAATACCCATCTGCTGCATGGGCCATGATTTTGTATCATCTCAGGCCTCTCCCCCTAACAAGTAAGCATTCTAAATTTTAGGCCTCAATACAGGACTGGAAGCTGGAAACCATAGGTATATCCTTCCTCTCTATAGCTATCTTCATCAGTTTCAAGTTACTTGCCCTATAGCCAAACACAAACTTATCTCTCTAGTCAAAATGGCACTGTTGACTCTCCTTGTTACTAACTAGATTGGAATTGAATTCATGCTCTTTCTCCTGTCTATACTTTCACATTCTTCCATCTACTTCCTGTGTTACCATAGCCCACAAGAATCTCTCCCTTTCCTGATCTGGCAGATGTTCTGAGCTGTAATACAGAGCCCTTTCCATTCTACAATGTCTCATTTCTTCAGTTAGATTGTAAACTAAACGCTTCTGGACTGGAACTATTT